TGTATATTCTTGTATATCTTGTAAATCTGTTTTTCAGTCAGTGTGTTTGTCTATTTGAGTCTGTTGAGTTGGCATTGAGTTTGTGTGTGTATACAGGTAAAGGTATTGACAGAAATGGGGGCCTTCACTGAGGCGTTTAAAGAACTCAGCAGTCTCACATTTGGCAAGGAAATCCCTGTATCTCATGGATGCCACCACAGAGCAGAGAAGCCACCTTGGGTAAAGCAGCATTAACAATATAAAATACCCAGCTGACAAAAGCAATACATGCAATTATCTTTTTTTGCAGTGTAAATGTATAATTGCTCGTGTATAATGTGTAATTGCTTGTGTAGTAAAGTGTATAATTACTTTTTTTATTTTTTAGCGGCTCCTTGAATATCATAAAATATACTGAGTTCAGTTTTTGAACTTTTTAAATGGAATTTTATTAGTAATTTCTTAACTTTCCGTCCTTTACACTTTACACTACTGTTCAAATGTTTGGGGTTATTAAGCTTTTTTTTTTTTTTTAAAGGGGTCATATGATGCAATTTCATTTTTTCCTTTCTCTTTGGAGTGTTAAAAGCTCTTGGTGCATAAAGAAGATCTGTACAGTTGCAAAGACTAAAGTACAATAATGTACAGTATGTGGAAAATAATGTTTTTTTTTACTTTAAACCGCATAAACACATTTCATTACACCAAATAAACAAAATAATGTTCTTTTTAGCAGCATCATATGACCCCTTTAAGAAATCGATATTTCAAATCAGTGTTCTTTGGAACATTTAATTTATCAAGGAATGCTGAAAAATGTTTTACAGTTCCCACAAAAATATTAAGCAGCACAACTGTTTTCAGCATTTGATCATAAGAAATGTTTATTGAACACCAAATCAGCATATTAGAATGATTTCTGAAGTATCATATGACACTGAGGACTGAAGTAATGGCTAATGAAAATTCACATTAAATCCCACAGGCAAAGGAAATATTTACTGAAGGGAAACCGCTGTTGGATCCTTCCAATCTTCAAGTAAGTTTACAGATCAATACATCAAGTCATTGACAACATACTGTACTGTTGTAAAAAGCATAATGCTTGTGTGATCGCTTACACAGGTGCCTGGATGAAGTGGTCAATAGGAGGCCAAGTAAAGACATCATGGCTCTTTATGGCTCAAGATTAACCAGGTGACTCCTGATGGCCAGAGTTCATCTCATCTTGGCCATATGTAGTACTATACATGACCTGCCTGAGCCACTGACACCAGGTATCTTTTCAGTACTAGTTTATTATGGACAATTACAGATTATAAATCTCCATTATAAATTCACACATTACTGAATTATTTTCATTAACCCACAGAGTTATCCGAATCTCAGGAGAAATGCTCTAGCACTTCCTGTTTGCCTGATGTCTCCAGCAGTGACAAGTCCAAGGGTCTCCAGCTCAGTGCCAGGAAACTCACATTAGGAGAAGTCAAGGTGTTCCATTTTTCCGTTAAAGCTGTCCAACTATCATTTCTGTTAAATTGGTCTTCCAGATCTAGGCCTATAAAAGCGTTTTAACATTATTTGACCCTATAGCATTAATAGCAGTACAATATGAAGTTATAAACACAAATATAAATGCATCTACCAAATGCCAAGAAGATTAAGGACAAAGTGAACATGTCTCTTTATTGCCCCGTTCAGTCCATACTTCTAAAAGAAGCACATGCTCCCCACATCCGCTGAGCACCGATCCTGAAGAAATGGAGCTGGCAGTGGAGATCAGACTGTTAACGTCCAATATCAACATGCAGCAGGGCAGAATGGCTGCCAGGTTGTGCAGAAACTTAAATCATGAAGAAGAGTGCATGTTTGTGTAGTTGTGTGGGTGTCTATATGAACACTACTGTTACAAAGCTTGGGGTCAGTGTGATTTTTTTTTTAAAGAAGTTGGTAGTTTTATTCAGCAAGGATGCATTCATTTATTCAAACATTATGAGTAAAGACATTTATAATGTTCCAAATTAACGTTCTTTTTCACTTTTCACTCTGTTCTTTTGAACTTTAAATTCACTGAAGAATCCTGAAAAAATGAATCATGATTTCCACAAAATTATGAAGCAGTAGGAGTAATGGCTGCTAAAAATTCAGCTTTGCCATCACAGGAATAAATTACATATTAAAATATATTAAAATAGAAAACAGTTACTTTAAATTGTAATAATATTTGACAATATTACTGTTGTTGATCAAATAAATGCAGTCTTGATGGGCATATGAGAATATGAGACTTTCAGAAATGTTAAAAAACCTAACCGGACCCAAACTTTTTATGGTATTGTATGTCTCGGTATGCATGCATGCCTGGAAGTTTGAATCCATTGTAGTCGCACCACATGACATTGTACAACTTGAACTAACCTTTCCTTGTCATAAAAAGGACTTATTGACATCCTCAGTCCTCAGGGGTCCTACCTATTATTATTTTTTTATTATTTATGTTAGTTACACCACATGACCTCGGTGATTTGGTGTACAAGAATTCTTCAAATATTAATAAGATGTTGTTGTTTTTTCTAAGAAATTATCATAAAAAATGCCAAATGACTACTAATACAAAAAATAAGCAACCCTCATTACCCTCATACAGGGGTTTTCAATCCTGCTCCTGGAGGGCCAGTATCCTGCCTGGAAGTTTATAGTGAATCTGAAGACCTTGATTGCTTTGGTTCAGGTTTGTTTATTTAGGGTTAGACTTAAACTCTGCAGGACAGTGGCCCTCCAGGAACAGGTTTGGACACACCTGACCTCATACAAATTCCTGTTCCTGTGACTCAAAAACACTTACAACATTGTCCCCCCAGTCACTGAGAACAGTGGAGATGTAGTTGGCAGCATTGAGGATGGCGCAGTAGCGAGGGCTCAGCGGCTGTCGGGACTCTTCTTTCATGACCTGCGTGAGGCGGATACGGAAATCATCCACCAGCTCCTTCTGCAAAGCCAGGAAACTGAGCTGAGCCCGCGGACACGGCAGAGAGCGGTACCGTTCTAAGAGAAGGATGGCGGAGATATTTAGATATTAAAATAGAAAACAGTTACTTTAAATTGTAATAATATTTGACAATATTACTGTTGTTGATCAAATAAATGCAGTCTTGATGGGCATATGAGAATATGAGACTTTCAGAAATGTTAAAAAACCTAACCGGACCCAAACTTTTTATGGTATTGTATGTCTCGGTATGCATGCATGCCTGGAAGTTTGAATCCATTGTAAATCTAGACGTCTTTCCTGTCTATTGTAGTGCAGATCTGTCAGTGTCTGCTTTGAGGCTCCTCCAGAGGTCTCCTGTGTCTCAAAGTGATTTCCGCCCGCTGCCTCCTCCCGGACCACCCTCCTCTGCTTTCAGACGACCCAGAGCCAAAGCACATCAGGTAATAATCAACCTCTGATTTATTTACATAGATCCATGTTCTAAAGGACAGATTCAGTTTCATTAGACTTTTATCTCTCTGTCTTTTTCTCTACAGACAAGCTCCCGGGACGCAAAGTCTGTTCTCGATCTCCATAGCGGAGATGTTCCAGAAGAAGTGGAAGCGAGAGAATGCATGAATCTCCTTTTCTAGTTGCGCTGAAGGCTGGAAGTGGTTCGCTCCCTCGTAGGCCATATCCCTGGAACTGCTAGCTGCTTTGCATAGCTTAATGTGGTGGAAATGTTGTTGGATGTAACTGGTATTTGGTGTTTTTTGACAGCTTGCGCTTGTTTGTGCAGGTGCAGACAGCAGTGCAGAGGTGCTCCGACTGCTGAAAGAAGGTCTGGAGGAGGCAGAGGCCTGGGGAGACCCTGACACTAAAGCCCTGCTGCTCCTACAAGGCGTCCAACTTAACACACACCGTAGCAGACCCAGAGAAGACAGTACATCCATGGTACAGGTCAGTAGTTTGTTATGACAGTTGATTGAGCGGAGCATGAGATTAACAGAAGGAAATGCCCTCAGCTGACCTGGGTTCATATGTCCCGCTACTACATGCACTTAATCAACCTGCTACAGGTCTCTTCACAACCAGGTACAGCACAAGTAACTAGGGCTTTTTCATTCAGTTCATTCAACAATCAATAAATCTACTCTCTGAAAACATTTGTACTGTATATATGTTTTTATGTAATGATGGTGTAATTGGCTGTGTTATTCAGGAGCAGTGCAGGGTATTGATGGGCTGCTGAAGTTCGGTGATCCCAAACTTGCTCTCAGACTCTCCCAGTTACACACCTTCTTTAGCCGTCACCAACCCTCTTACAGAGATCAGTGGGCCGTTCCTGATCCCCCTGCAGCTCTAATACTGAGGCCTCAGCTAATACAGGTTTCTGTTCACACATGTATTACCTTTTTTAAATGATAATAGAACAAAAAAATTGTTGTCTCTCTCCTAATTCCTGCCAGCATGACCAGCCATTGTCAGATTTTACCCCTGGACCAGCACTGACATCCAGGAACTGAGCATCCAGTGGTACAGACCCACATCAGAGGACAACAAGGTAGTCAGACACTCGGGTTTTTAAAAATTATTTGAACTCTTTTTTTCTTTCTTTCTTATAGTAATTTAGAGTACGTTTTTAAATCTATATATCCTTTTATTTAAATTAAATGGTTCTCTGTCATAAATATCGGTTCCTGAGCAGTGTTGTATTTGATGACTTCAGATTCTGCTTCTCTTTGCTGTAAATAATGCTCCTCTATCAGCAATGAGCCCTACTGCAGATGTAGAGGCAGCACTACAGGCTGGACAGAGAATTCTGAACCTGCAACGCTGCTTTAATCCTGCAACAGGTGGCACACTGCAAGATACAGCCATCATTACATGGCTCCTCTCTCTTCTGAGATAAAACCCATAGCCTTGATCTGCCCTAGTTTGATGAGATAAAACAAAATTCCCCAACTACTCATATTTAATATACTATACAAAAAATGTTATGTTTTATTTAACACCAAATAAGGAGGACAGCACTGAAACATGTATTAATTTATTTGTTTCTGCTGAAAGAATGTGAGCAAATCTTTTTTCTTTTCTTTTTTACATCAACATACTCTTCATATTTCCCTTCCCTTCAGTTCACTTTAAATACTGTAGATCAGCTGATGTAGGATATTTCATTCAGTCATATCGTAAGTATAACAGGTGTTTGAGTGCTTGGTAATGCTTCCTTAGTGCTGCTTCGGGTGATTTGTCATTGTTTGAGCCAGGCTGAGCGGAGTTTGAGGAGGATCTGCACATCACTGGGGGCCAGCTTATAGACTCCCAGCTCATTGAGCGCTGACTCTGGACTGGGCTGCTGATGGTTCAGAATGCCCTCATCTTCCTCTGACTGCTTCAGCACATCACACAACAGCAGCGCCGGGCCGACCTTAAGAGTCAGGATGATGCAGGCCTCCTTCACACTGAGATGAGGAAAGAGAGAAATTAGAATGAGGTTTTCCTAAATATTAGCTCTGAATAAACAAACTTACTGTTTGAAGAAGTTTTCAGGTCTCTTGCAGTAGTGTCTAAAGAGAGGGAAGAGGTTTCTGGTCATATCGTATTGAAGCTGTGCCACCCCGCCTTCATTGAAATGGTTATACAGGATCAGCTAAGGGCGAGAGCAAAAAAACGATAAACAACACACTCCAACAAAATAATGTATGCAGACTTCAAATACAGTTAATCCTGACTAAAATATGAAAGTTTTCTCTCTTTCTTTAACATTCTACATTTTTAAGTTTGATTTTGAGACTTTTAAAGATACACTACCGTTAAAAAGTTTGGGGTCTGTAAGATTTAAAAAAAAGAAAATAATACCTGTATTCAACAAGGATGCTTTAAATTGATCAAAAGTGACAGTATTTGTAATATTTCTCAATATTACTGTTTTAACCGTATTTTAAATCAAATAAATGCAGCCTTGTTGAGTATAGGAGACTACTTTTAAAAACATTTAAAAACAATCTGACCAAATCTAAACTTTTGTACATTAGTGTCAACATTAGTTAATCCACATTAGCTTATGGTAAATTAAGTTTTAACAGTGAAAAAGTTGAAGCAAGTGACTGACATCTTCGTAGATGAAGTTGTCGAGCCTCTCGGCGAGGCCCTGCCAGAACATCTGAAACAGAGGAAGACACAACATCTGCTGCAGCTGGAGCAGGTGATCCCGTAGGCAAAGCATCATGGGACATGCAGAGCTTGATAACGACATAGTGGCTTGGTCGCTCTGTGATGGCAAGGAGATCCACCTGAAACAGACCAGATTCACTTCATACACTTCAAAACCTGGTACAGAAAGAGCCCAGAGATCGCTGCTCAGATTGAAACCATTCTAACTAATTTTCTAATTCTGGTGAACTAAAGAGCCATTTAAGGGCTGCTGAGGCCTAAAACTAAACACTGACAAAAAGCACATCCTCACAAGGAATCATTTAAATGCACTGTTAACACAACTGTTGAGTTTTTAGGTTATTCCCACCCGTACCTGTCCTTGCAGTATGGCTGTGCCTTCTCTTTGACGTCTCTCATGACTGCATCTAGCAATCGTCCCAGCATGTCTCCTCGTAGCCTTTCCAGCAGGGCCAACAGGGCCTCAAACAAAGATTCTTCCAGAGAGGCCAGACGCCCCGTCTCTGTGGCCCCAAGAGGACCTAGGATCTCCTCACCAACTGACACTGCAGCCTGCTGCAACTGCAAGAAGAACTGAGAGAAAACAAAAGCATTTTGTGCATGATTTCAATCATGTTTCTGTTCTCTGTCAAGACTTCAAATTTTTTTTTTTATAATTGTATTTATTAATGGGTCAAGGACTAATAAGAGTGTACACAACAAAAATAAGGAAGAATCTTAGAAATTTACTATTTGTATTCATGTAGAATTCATATTTTTATTTATTTATATATTTTTTGCTATTTTAAAGAAATTATTACATTTAACAACGTTAAAAAAAGTCATTTAGTTTAACCATTTACATTTTAAAATATATATATATACTTTCAAAAAAGTTTATAGTGAATCTGAAGACCTTGATTGCTTTGGTTCAGGTTTGTTTATTTAGGGTTAGACTTAAACTCTGCAGGACAGTGGCCCTCCAGGAACAGGTTTGGACACACCTGACCTCATACAAATTCCTGTTCCTGTGACTCAAAAACACTTACAACATTGTCCCCCCAGTCACTGAGAACAGTGGAGATGTAGTTGGCAGCATTGAGGATGGCGCAGTAGCGAGGGCTCAGCGGCTGTCGGGACTCTTCTTTCATGACCTGCGTGAGGCGGATACGGAAATCATCCACCAGCTCCTTCTGCAAAGCCAGGAAACTGAGCTGAGCCCGCGGACACGGCAGAGAGCGGTACCGTTCTAAGAGAAGGATGGCGGAGATATTTAGAAACAAGTTTTAACCTAAGAATCAAATATGAGGATGATTTTTTTTATTGATACCTGTGATGACCAGCAGAAGGGTCATGAAGGTCTCTGCACAATCTGGTGCTTTAAGTTCATCCATATCAGTGATGTCTTTGTACTGAGAGCTCCAGGCTCCCTCTGCAGACAGCATGGTGTCCACTTTTTCCACAGCCACTAGAGAGCAACATACACAATTTAATTTATCATAGAAACTGAGAATTTGATATTCAAATTCCTAGCATTTACACTCACTCTTTCTCTCCACACTGAGCCACTTCTGGAACACGGTCTCCTCTAGTAGTATGTGCAAGATGCCGGGATAGGCTCGCGGGTAACTGTGGGTGCTGCGGAGCTCTTTTTCGAACTGCAGCACCTCGTCCACTAGGTGGCAGAAGAGAGCATCGTCGTAGAGCAATCGAGGAGTGTCGTGGGCGAGCTTCTCCTGTGCCAGAGTCAGGAGCCCTCTGCACAGCTCCACCTGGAGGACAGATTGATAAGACTTTAAGGCCTAATGATGGCTTTGATGCATTTTTTTAAAGTCGCAATAAAAAAGAATTAGCAACAGATCTTTTCAGTCATATTCTGATGTACATCCGAGTGAAATGTATTATTGAAATACATCAATAATAGCTTGCAGTCAACTGTAAGAAAGGGGCGGGGTGTAAGCGGACAAAATGATTGGAAAAATCTGGCATACGTCACTAGAGAGAAAACCGTCACTTTACTGGAAGACAGTAATTAAACTTTGTATATAAAATATGCATTTAGAAAATAGGATTTTCATTTCATACCGACTGTAACCAGTGCAATGATGAACATACCCTTGCGTTAACTTTGGCCCTGGCACGATCCAATGTAGGCTGAATCTTCTCATCCATAAAGTTGGAGCTGTTTCCCATCCAAATGAGGACTTGGGTCAAATACCACTCTGGCTGTAGAGGTGAAAGTTCATATCATATCTTATTAATGTACATTTGATAATTTATCAATAGCTTGCCTCACACAAATGTGTAATCTCTGACCTTGCTTAAGTTGTTGGTCTGGCGGTTTCCAGTGAAGTGATACCTGAACCTCTTACTGAGGGGAAGCAGCATGATCTGAATGGGCAATGAGAGTGGAGGAGTCTGGGACTGCCCAGGACGAGACAGTATTTCTTTCTTCTCTGATATAAGGTCATCACTTCAACACCCGTTAAGGAAAACGACCAGCTTCGCACCTTAAATAAAAAAAGAAATAAACAAATAAAATAATTAATAACTTAAATTTAAAAATAATTTAAAAAAAAATACTGTAAATAAAATAAAATTGTTGGTCTTAATATCTTGTGTAGTTTATCTCACACTTCGTTGTGAAAACTGAAATAAAGAAATAAAAAGAATAAATAAATAAAAACATAACATAATAACATAATATAGTTGGTCTTAACAGCATCTGGTGTAGTTTGTCTTCCACTTTAAGCAAATCGTTGTGACAAAAGATCAAACAGTGGAGTGTATTGAGAAAATGAATCTGTATTTAATAAATAAAAATAATAACTAAAAACAAATAAATAAAAATACTGTATAAAATAAAATAGTTGGTCTTAACAGCATCTGGTGTAGTTTGTCTTACACTTTGAGAAAGTCTTTGTAAAAAAATCGTAAATAAAATGACCAGCTTTGTATATTTAAAAACAGAAAAATAAATCAATAAAAATAATTATAACATAAATAAATAATACTGTAAGTAAAATAGAGCAGCATCTCATGTAATTTGTCTCACACTAAGGATATTGTTATGACCCTGATTCAATCTAACCCCTCAGGTTATGTACACCGAAACAAAAGTGTGTATTGAGAAAATGAATCTATATTAAAGTGGAATTAATTCCAGAAGATTAAGGATACGAGGTCTGGAGAGAGAGAAGTTGGGAGACCAGTAGCTCCAGCTGGCTGTTGAGCTCCTGTGCGTTGGCTGGGGGAGAGAGGGTCTGTGTAGGGGGCGAGATGAACGGCCAGTGGAACTGCGTCAGGACTTCCTCAAAATCACTGAAACAGAACCAAACTGTAATATATTTATTCTTTTAAACATACAATTCTAAATACTCATAAGTCTAATACCTGGCCAGTTTGTCTTTAAGGATCTTGTGCCAAAAGCGAAGTGTTTCTCTGAGGAAAGCCTGCAAGTGGCTACAGCCTGACTCCCTCAAACCCATGTCCAGAGAGGCCATCCTGTCTATTGCACCGACTGCATCCCACATGCTATTGGTCATCAGATACTGCTGGATGCTGTCACTAATGCAACACAACAACGAAGCGAAGTGCAGCCTGTGTTAGATGCCAATATACACCTCCGGTGCCCTCCAAAATATCTGGACACTCTTACCTGAGCTGCTCAATACGAGCCAGACATTGAAGGTACTTCATATGCCTCTCTAATGTGTCTAGCTGACCCAAGACCTGCCCGATGCTGTCAGCCCAGACCTGCGCGCCCTGCAGATGCTGCTGCAAAGTGTTGGACAAAACTCTCTCCTTCTCCAGTAAAGACTCCAGCTTCACTCGAGACTCCTCTGCCGTGGACAGGGCAGCGGACACACGCAGCGGCACTGAAGAGGACACAGTCAGCACCTGCATGCACAGACAAATGCTGCTGAAGGGTTGTTTTGGATTACAAATAAATAAAAGTATTCCTAAAAATAAATAAATAAATAAATAAATACAGAAAAATAATCATTTTTATAATTTTATAAATAACACCAAAATACTAAAATAATAATAACAGAACTATAAATATACAAAACAAAAATACTAAATACATACATAATACAGAAAATGTATGTATATATATAAATAAAAATAAATAAAAATATGCATATATATATATGGGTCGAAGAGTAAAAGGGGTTTTCAAGCATCAAAACAATAAAGGTTTAATACGGCTTTCATTTTTTTCTGTACATCATTTTATTTAGTTAAAAAAATTGAGCATAAAAAATGACTATGATACATTTTGACCATGATTTACAGAAGACACTCACTAAAATGTCATTCAGTGTAACAATTGTTTATTTACAAAAAAATCTTGTCAGCTATATTTAAAACAAGAAAGATTGAATGACCTTAAAAGACTGTATTTAAGAATCGCAGAATATGAATTGTCATTTTAAATCTTTACCAATCTTTGCCACTATCCTTCAAACAACTAGGTTTTACCCATTTGTCATCTAGAATTATTAAATCATTTAAAATATAATAAAATTTAGTATGATATTTTTTTTTTCTTTTATATATTTTAATAAGTACAGGTCAGAATAAGTATGTTGTTTCATTTTTACATAAATATATCTGTTAAGCTGTATGAGGATGGAACATAATTTCACCCATATACTGACATTTTATTTTCACATGAGTTATTTGAAACATTAAAGTAGACAATTTACTTACATTTAATATGCTTTCTTTGTATGTAAAATCACTGTTGTAAATGTAATTTTATGCAGTCGCAAATAAATAAAACAAAATACTAAATAAGTAGTCAAGCATTTGGTGTAGTTTGTCTCACATTTTAAGCCAATCGTAATAAATAAATAAAATTCACATATAAAAATATGGCTTAATTCTTTTTTATTCTTTACAACACTTAAATGATGTTAGCGGAGTCTCTGTGGCTTTATTTACCTGCTCCTCCAGCTGCTTGTTCTCTAATGTCAATTTCTCTAAAAGCCCCGACACCTTCTTTAGCGACTTAAGATCGCCACCTATCTCTTTCTGAACAAGTCCAACTACATCATCTGTAAAGTTTTCATCCTCTGAAGGAGATTCAGGTTTAACGCAATCTGTACGCTCTAGATGAGAAAGAGCATTGCTGCTGTGGTTGTTGTGCTCCATCATAGGCGCCGCCATGTTGCTCAACACGTCATCAGTGGATTTAGCCTCCGCTGCTCCCTCTAGTGGCAGAAAGTTGTTTTATTATATTAAATATTAAAAAATGCCTTTTCACACTTATCATTAAAAGAAACTAGGCCTACCAATAAACATTAATCACATTAATATTATGGTAATAATCAGGATAAAATAACGAACCATGATTGACATCATGCTTTTTAAGACACTGTAACCTTTTAAAGAAAGAAAGAAGTTCTGTTCTGTTCTTATTTTTGACAGTAGTAGTGGGCATTCACATATATGCCTATATTGTAGAATACATAATATTTTATTTATTAAAATTACTACGTTACTTACTTTCAATAATTGTAAAATACAAATTTGAGATGCTTTAAGCTTAAAAAATTTTAACCGTCAAAAAAGTTTTGACTCATGAATATTAAAATACGTAATTACGTAACTCAACACTCCAGGTACGTAATCAAAACCGTTTGCGTAATCTAATTAACATTCATGAGCTCGACCTTGGACGACGTTGTTTGTAGCGTTTGTAGTTTCTCTACCTGGCAGGCATGGATAAATACATTTATTTCGGAACAAAACGACACTTATGTGTTTAGAAACCCGTATATGCTGTATATGTATCACTATAAAGTTAAAACAAAAGTGTAAGACAATGTAGACGCATCAAGAAGTGAACAATGGAAAATAAGATCAATTGATATGTCTATTTTTAGTAAACATCCATAAAATACAAATATCGCGGCATAGGGGCGTCTATATTTACATTTTAATCGAAAAGTGTCCAAATATTTTCCAAACGTTTGTTTTGTTTGTGCGTTCCTGCATTGATAACATATTTGGCTTGCGTGCCAGCAACGGAGACACTACTGTCATCACGTTTAGTGCTGTAAAAGCAGTTATACAGTATTTAATGCCATTTCCTAGTATTGTGGTAGTGCAAAAGACATAAATCGGCCAAAAATGTTATTTATTGGCTCATTTAGTTGCAGGAGGCGCTGGTGTAAGTGCCTGCAGGCCTCTTTGATACACTTTTCTGGTTTGAGGTTTCCTGACATGACTCTGAGAGGGCTGTGCTTGCCTTGGATGGCAGAAAGGACATGAGTTGTTAAGGATCTTGAGGTTTCAGAGTGTTTGCCAAAGTCAATTCTGGCCTGAGCAGCAGCTGTATGAAGTTTCTTAAACTGGCACGTTACACCAGTCCAGCTTAGCATGGCAGTCAGCATCACACAGCGCCTTCAAGTTTATGTATAGCACCCTGAAAACTGGACCCCTTCTTCTGTAACAGTACCCAGATGAATACTGGTGAGTCTATTGTGTGTTTTGGGCTTTTAAAAAAAAAAGTACACACACAAACATATAAGTATTAATAATAATTATATATTAATTAATAGAAATATAATTATACAAATTTAAACACAATTATACATATATACGTTTTAAATATTTTATTATATATAATATATAATATTTTTTTTATTATTATCAATAATACTGAAGTAATAGTTTTTATGTGCATATACGGTATGTATATATATATATATATATATATATATATATGTTTTAAAATAAATATAATTATTTATAATATTATTTATATTATAAATATATTATTTGAGAAATATAATACAATTTAAAATAAACAACATTATCAAAATTATTTATTAAAGATATGATATGATATTTTTTTCCAAACGTTTGTTTTGTTTGTGCGTTCCTGCATTGATAACATTATATTTGGATAACACTGCATTGATAACATTATATTATATTATAATATATATAACACTCATACTCAGTCTACACCTCAAATTTGCACATAATATACAGTACCTGTACATACAAAAACTGTCTATTGTAATATACCTGCACATACAACTGTCAATTTATATATTTGTATTCCTTATTTACTTGTTCTATTTTTTATTATCTGTGTTTTTTGTTCTGTCACTGTCATTCTGTTACACTGTGGAAGCTTCTGTCACGAAAACAAATTCCTCGTATGTGTAAACATACCTGGCAATAAAGCTCATTCTGATTCTGATATGTATTATTATTATTATTATTTTAGAGTTTGAGATAGTATCATTGTAGAGTTTGATTTGTTGAACAGCCTATGAATACTACAAAAAGTTTTCTGAAACATTTTCTCCTCCCTTGAAAAGTCTATTTTTAAGTCTATTCGTTTTGCTGTTTTAACTATGCACAAATACATAGTTTATTTCATTCAGCTTGTTTTTTTTTTGCTATGTCACAACCTACCAGTCGAAACACCAGTACCCTAAAGGCATTTGTAACATATCTACATTTTCAAGCTGTCAGAAGAAAATGAAAAATTACTCAGCCAGGTGTACTACAGTGAGACAGTGTTATAGTGAGGGTAGGGGGCAATCAAGAACGCTGTTCCGGGATTGTTGATGAGCATAGCCTACTCATTTGGCCTCGGGAGAGGCGGCACACCCATAAAAATTTGGTCTCGGGCCCTGAGCATTTTAGTGATGGAAATGGCAAAATGACAATCTCCCAGTCTGAGTCAGGGAGTGAAGCCAGGCACTGCTGACAGCCCAGGAAAATATGAATCGACCAGGGAGACGGGACTGTTTAGGGAAGCTTTTGCACCATCCCAACCAACTCAGCCCCTTTTGTACAGTTCATACCAAACACTTACATATTTAGTTCTAAGTATCTCTCTCAAAAAACAAAAACAAATATCTCAAGTTGTTACTGCAATAGATACTATCAGATGTATTGAGTAAAAACATGGGTGGCCATGAGTCAGGACTTACCTGCGGGTGACATATCACTATGTCTGGCACCATCCTTGTTGCTGAAGCAAGATAATTGATGTCATTGTGAGATAAAGGTCTAACAGTCTTTTATTGTTGCTTGTACCCATGGATACATATCTCATGATTTTTGTCTTTTTTTTTTAAATAGGTCCAGAATGCATGATGTGGAACCATATGCACCATCGTAAGGTAAGTAATCTCTTTGACTATAGGACAAAGTTCATAGCAATACAATCATCCAGCAGCACTCCATAATCCCACATTACAGTCTGCCTGTGAAGTACCAAGAGTGCCTCTGAATGCTTCAAAGTGGCAGTGGGTGACCAGCAAAGTTAGCGCTATTCAAAACAGAACTGGGAGCATGTTTTCCCCACATTCCTCACCCAGCTGTTTGCGTGTGAATAGAGGGGCTGCACAAGTTTGCGTGAGAGATTGTGTGTGTGTCAGTGTCCTTGTGTGTCTGTTTTCCTGTGTCATAGTTTGGCATGCAAATATCACTGCCGCTCCATCTGAAAGCACGTGCTGGAGATTTACTACTAATCACAGGAGCGGCTTTACTGACTACATGCGCATGAAAATCGCATTCGATTTTTTGCACAGCCCTATGTTTGTGTATGTGCAGGGGTATTGTGTGGAATGTCTGACTCTGTACATGTGTGTGTGACTGCGGAGAATTCGCTTTTGGGGGCAACAGTCGCACAGGACGGTGTTATGAGTTAGAGGATGTCCTGTGGACAGGGCAAAAGAAGACTGTAAAGATCTCTAATAGTGTGGCCTTTTGATCTAGTGCTGCTTTGACATTCCAGTTTAGTTAATAAGCAGTCCAACAAGTCATCGTGAAAGCTGAAATGTCACTGTTTTTGGTAATTAAAGCCTTTATTGTTGAAAAAAAGCTGCTTTTTATTGGCTTGAATCACAATGGTGATGATGCCTCCTGTGTTTGTGGCAACATGTCTGTTTTAATGAATGTATCAATGGAATTTCTAGAAACCACAGAGTTCAAGCTGCTCATCTGTGTACAAAATAATCAGTTAGCCAGCCCTTGGATGGTGACGAGGTATTCTGCATATATATATATGTGTGTGTGTGAAGCCCGGCCCATTTCTCTCCGCCTGCTCCCGGGAGCTTGTTTTCCCAGATTTGGGAGTTGCAGGTGCAGCGTCCAGCTGCAGCTCCGCTGTGCACGCCAACAGTATGAATCATTTTCCCTCCTTTCAGAGCAGTGAAAATCAAAGCATATGGAGGACGTAAAAGAAGGGGGGGGGTGTTTTATCTGGATCTTAACCATCACTCCATTAAGCTATGTTACCAAACCGAGTGTGGAAAAAAAAGAGAAGATCCTGTGTGTATATGCGTGTTTGTGGTACGCTTTTAGATAGGGAGTGGAGGGCAGTGAAAATCATGCTCTCACAGTCGAGTTCATAGCCCTGGCTTGATTGTTTTTCTTGTCTTGGCTCATCTTGGGCCGTCGGTGTTGTCATATTGTCCATGTGCATGGAGGCACACAGGCCCTCAGAGAAACAGAGAGGGACCACACATGGAGAGCGAAGCCTCAGGGAGTATCAGGCCTGTGTGGAGTGCTTTGCCAGGTCCCAAGTCGCCTCGCTTCACTGCTTGTCATTGGATCTCAGATCTGCTGATATAATTTGCTCCCCTCTCCACTTTTAAAGTGATGAAATGTCTCTCCTTACCCAGCCCACCTGAGTATAGGTGAAGAGGTCCAGTAGGTCCCTCTGAGTAAGTGTGGTCTGTAGTTGAAAGCACGCTCATAAATGAGGTCGGTGTGGTCTGAAGATGTCAGACTAGATCAGTGATGGGCAAACTTGGCCCTTCCAGGCCACTTTCCTGCCGAGATTTGATCCAACCCTGATAAAACTCACCTGCCTGTAGCCTTCTAGTAGTCTTGAAGACAATGATTAGCTGGTTCAGGTGTGTTTGATTAGGGTTGGAGCTAAACTCTGAAGGAAAGTGGCCTGGAAGGGCCAAGTTTGCCCACCCCTGGACTAGATGCATCCACCACCTCTATTGAGAGTGACACTAACAATGCATTTTCAGTTCTCCGTTTTGTGTGCACAACACACAAAAACACATGAATATAAATGGTAAAAGTGTACTCAAGTTTTTTTTTTTACCTCTCTCTCTGCTGGTCACATAAATCTGTGGACTTTATGAAGTGACCAGCTCCATTTGAAATAAAATGGATTTTTTCTTCAGACACTGATATAACTGTAGTCTTCA